TTGACTGGTTTGGTCTCTTTGCAGTCCAAGGACTCTCAAGAGTCTTCTGCAGCACCACAGTTCGAAAGCATTAATTCTATAGCACTCAGCCTTCTTTATGGTCCAGCTCTCACACCCAAGCATGACTACTGGGAAAAACATAGCTTTGACTCTGTGGACCTCAACTGGCAAAGTAATGTCTCTGCTTTTTAATATGCTGTCTAGGTTTGTCAGAGCTTTTCTTCCAAGGAGCAAACATCTTAATTTCATGGCTGTAGCCACTGTCCACAGTGATTTTGGAGCCCAAGAAAATAATCTATTTGCCATGAAGTGTCACTTAAAAAAGTTGACAATATACTCACATAAGGCAACTTTTAAAAATATAAAAGGACACATGGTGACAAGTAAAGCTCTGTCTCACCCTTGTCTCTCACCCTTGTCTCGCCAGTGTGCCTCTTTGGAGGCAACCACCATTTCCTGCATTTTATGTATCCGTCTAGCGATACCTTCTGTGTCTCTAAGCATGTATCTCACATGGTAAAATTACAGAGTGACTAATTTTAGGTACTGCACATAGATCCAGAAAAATCCATGGCACCAGTCCAGAGTAGGAAAAGTCTCAACAGCAGAACATATGTGAGGAAAACAGCCCCTATTTGACAGTGACCTCAGTGAGAGTCAGCTGTGCAGTGCCAGAAAAGATTAGGCAACCTTGTGGAGCTGTTTCATGTGTTATGCAACAGACTGCAAACAACAAAAGATGTTTTCTGAATATCTGCTTGTGTTGGCCTCTGTGCTGGGCACTGGGGACGCAGCAGTGACTGAGCCAGCCACTGTCTGGGTCTTCACGGCATGTCCCGTCTGAAAGACATGGGAAGTGGTTTAGTCAAATCACGCCACTTGGAGCTGTTCAGACCCCTGGGAATCCTGTATCCTGCCCTGGCCAGCTCCTTTCAATAGAACATTGGCCAGTTGGAGCTTGTACAGAGGGTGTGAAGAGAAGGGTGAGGAAACCAGATGCCATGTCATCTGAGGGCAAGTAGCGGAAATTGGGGGCGTTTATTTAGCCTTAGAGAAACAAGAGACGAAAGGACTTAGAGAGGACACAGCAGCCGTCTTCAGACAGATGAGACACTGTCGTGTGCCAGACAGGCCTGATTTATCCTTCCTGACACCACAAGGCAGACCTGCCGCCAGCTGCTGCTGGTCTGTAGAAGTTAAAGGTATCCGTATAAGAAAATTCCTGAAGCCCTGAATGACCGTGCTCAGCGCTCAGTTGCTTCAGTCATGCCTGACTCTGTGACCCTATGGACTGTAGCCTGCCAGGCTCCTCTGTCCGTGGGATTTTCCAGGCAAGAATGCTGGAGTGGGTGGTCATACCCTCCTCCAGAGGATCTCCCCAACCCAGGGATAGGACATGGGTCTCCTGTGTCTTCTGCATCACAGGTGGATTCTTTACCCTGAGCCACCCGGGAAACCCATCTTGAATGATCAGACTTACCCCTCCCAAATGAGCCGGTGCCTCAGAGGTAACTAGATACTCATCCTGTGAGGGAATTAAATGGTCAACAGCTTGAGGGGAGAATTTTTAACCTGGGTTGGGGGTTGAACTCTTAAGTTTCCTTTCAACTCTGAGAATCTGCTTTCAGAGACTCTTTAGGGGAGTCCATGATGTATGCCAGATTCTGTCGAATTGGTTTTTTTTTTTTTTGACATTTTATTTATTTATTTTATTATTTTTTTAAAGTCTTTATCGATTTTGTTGCAAATATTGCTTTGTTTTATTTTTTTGTTTTTTTCTGGCCTGGAGGCATGTGGGAACATTGCTTCCTGACCAGGGATCAAATCCACACCCCTCTGCATTGGAAGGTGAAGTCTGAACCCCTGGACTGCCAGGGAAGTTCCTGCAGAATTGTAAATAATTGGTGCTAAGTTAAAAAGTTTTCTTCTCCAGAGTGGGAGGAAGGGTATCAAAACTGCAGATGTACTAAGGTAAATGTGAGCCTGATAGTTTTCATTGTTTTATTAATATTTGCATACTGGTATACAAATGAAGAGGGCTTCCCAGATGGTTCAGTGGATAAAGAGTCTGCCTGCAGTGTGGTAGACTCAGGTTCAGTCCCTCGGTTGGGAAGATTCTGTGAAGGAGGGCATGGCAACTCACTCCAGTATTCTTGCCTGGAGAATCCCATAGACAGAGGAGCCTGGTGGGCTGTGGTCCATAGAGTCACAAAGAGTCAGACATGACTGAAGTGACTGAGCATGCATGCGTGCATGCAAAAATGAAATCCTTGTTACTGCTACGCTAGCTAGTAAACAGTTACAAATTATATTCACCTTGGAGTCTTGTATACTGCAGAACTTTGGAACAATGAGTAGGAGATCAAACAAGTCAATCCTGAAGAAAATCAACGCTGAATAGTCACTGGAAAGACTGATGTTGAAGTTCCAATATTTTTGGCCACCTGATGCAAAGAGCCAACTCATTGGAAAAGACCCTGAAGCTGGGAAAGATTGACGGCAAGAGGAGAGGGGGTGACAGAGGATGAGATGGTTGGATGGCATCACTGACTCAACGGACATGAGTTTGAGCAAACTCAGTGAGATAGTTACGGACAGGGACACTTGGTGTGCTGTAGTCCATGGGGTTGCAAAGAGTCAGAGATAACTTAACTTAGCTACTGAACAACAATTTCCCCCCAAATTTGCAAGGTTGCTCAGTTGAGCCTTTCCATAAAAGTGCATTAGATTTAGGAGTTCCCTGGTGGTCTAGTGGTTAGGACTTGGAGTTTTGACTGCCGTGACCTGGGTTCAATTTCTGGTCAGGGAACTGAAATCTCGGAAGCCAAAAAACATAGTGCAATAGATGATAGGAAAGCACTGTAACCCAGACATAGTACTTGGGATGTTTCTGTCCTTTGTTTAGATATTTACATGAAATCACTTTCCTGAAGATATTTTCTCGAATGGCTAAGATAGTTGGGTCTACAATATTGATCATATTAAAATGTGGCAGCTTAGGCTAGAGGTCAGACATACCTCGACAAATATCCTAGCTCTGCCAGGATTCTTGGGTGTTTATTCAACAATGACTTGTGGAGTCCTTTCTCTAAGCGAGCTTCTGTGCCAGGCTCTGAGGACATAGTGATGAATAAAGGAGACAGGGTCCCAGCCTCAAGGAAATTTACAGTCTAGTGGTGTAAATTAATCTCTGTAAACCTCAGTTTCCTTTCTTGTAAAACTGAGATCATTCCTATTTCATAACGTTCTTGTGAAGATTTTAATAAGGTAATATGTTTAAGCACATAGGAAGCAATGGAAAAATGTTAAGCCGTTGAAGTTAGTAATCCCATTTCCCCTGGCTGGAGAAATTAGAACATTCAGTGTTTTGCTGCCAAAATCCATTTTGTTAAACAATTTTGCAACAATTAGAGTTGACATTTTATTAAGCACTGAGTCCCCTGGAGGAGGGCATGGCAACCCATCCCAGTATTCTTATCTTGAAAATCCCACAGACAGAGGAGCCTGGCGGGCTACAGTCCATGGATGGCAGAGTTGGACATGACTGAAGCTACTTAGTCCACACGCCCACACATGTGTCAGTCACTGTTCTGAGCGCTTTACATGTTTTAACTCATCTCTCTCAACAATTCTATGAACGAGGTTTTATTATTAATTCAATTTTCCACTTTTGGGAAATGAAGGCACTGAGTTTCCACGTGGGAGCATTTCACAGCTGTGTGTGACACAGTACTTGAACCCTGGGAGCTAAAGTGCAACCAGAGCACATACTGATTCACCAACACTTACACTTCAGAATTATTTGACTAAAATAGTAAACTGGCTTCCTGATTTTAACTTTTCTGATCCAAAATCAGCAATGTGTATCTTAAATAATACCTTGTTCCTGATTTTTGACAAATAACACATTTTAATAAGGTACACAGGAGCATTGCACTACCCTGACTTGATGGATTCAGATGGACAGTGGCTATTGTGTGCTGCAGTACAAGGAAGCTTTTCGTTGGAGAATAAACCACTTGTCAGTGCTTTATTTTACATTTTTACAATATTTAACAAGGTGATACCTGGCAAGCAGAGTATAACATTTCATCTCGCTCTCATATGTATTTCATCTTGGGTGAACTACTAGATTCTTCTAAGATGAAGGCTCAGGCATTTGGAAAGCTCTTTTATGAAATGACCTTTAGGTGCTGGCATCAGATTATGATTGACAAGTGGGGCAAACATGACTTTAAAAATTCAGGATGATTCTACCATACCATAGAGTAGAACTTGGTATACTCAGATTTATCATCAATACCACCAATGTGAGAAATTAGAATAATGGGATAGAAAACTGGATGGAACTATTAGTGATTATCTTATCTGAAGCCCTCATTTATGAATAAGGAAGGTGAGAAAATGAGTCCAGGTACCTTCTATCTACTTACTCTTACTTTTCATGATCAAATATTCAGATAAATAGAGCCTTAGAGTCAGACCATGGAGTTGTAAGGCTTACCTTGAAGTAAAGTCTAGAAAACTCTCAAAGAGTCTAGAATACACAAAATAATACAGTTAGTAATAAACTGTTACTAATATGATTTCTAACACTAGGTAGGAAGTGTTTCCTTAAGATATTTAATTAAAAAAAATTTTAAACCACTTTATTGAGGTATGATTGTCATATAAGAAACCGTCCATATTTAGTGCACACAACTGGATGAGTCTGGGGTAAGTATACACCTGTGAGATCATCACCACAATCAGGGCTGTAAACATAGGATACTTAAAATTTTAAGTTCCACACATTATGTCTTCATATTCAATGATATTGTTTAAAACTATTTTTTTCCTTTGGTCAATCTTTGATTTATGGATGTAACCCATAGCTTATTTTCTCCCTCAATCCCGACCTGCTTTTCAATAGAATGGGAGCTGACTGATATGGTGGTGTGGGTGACTGGAGCATCCAGTGGGATTGGAGAGGAACTGGCTTACCAGCTGTCCAAACTAGGAGTTTCTCTCGTGCTGTCAGCCAGAAGAGTACATGAGTTGGAAAGGGTGAAAAGAAAGTGCCTTGGTGAGTAAATCTGAAATCGCAGCAGTGCTTCCTAGAAGTAAATCAGAGCCCAGAGTCAAAACTTGGGAATTTTAGGGGGAAGTGGGGGATTTTCATGGGCAGTAGACTCTGGTTCCAAATGCTGAATGCTTTGATCCAACTCCTTTTCCTTTTGTCACTTCTTAGTTAGCTGGCCTGACCTTTTTCTTCTTTTTCTGCCACCTTTCTACCTTTTTTTTTTTTTACACTAATTCTTAGCATTAGGGATTGATCATCAGTTCTCTCAAATGCTGGTTTGGATTTTTAGTGACCACATAAATGTCTTACATTTTTATCTTAGACAAGGAACAATTTGGTTCTTATGAATGACATACATATACGTTACCATAGAAATTTAATTGATATTTTGTTAAAATATCCGATTTTAAAGTCATATGAAATAATATAAGATTTTTTGTTGTAAAGGACAAAAAAACAGGAGTGGAATTAAATTTTTTTTCCAGCCATGCTGTGCAGCATGTGGGATCTTAGTTCCCTGACCAGGGATTGAACCAGTGCTCCTGCAATGGAAGTGTGGAGTCTTAACCCCTGGACCACCAGGGAAATCCCAGAGTAGAATTAAGTTTGAGAAGTGCAACTTGATATAATATTTTTCATATATACAGGACAATGGTGTTTTTGTTTATCTGTTTGGGTTTTGGTGTAGTTCACAGTAAAAGCAGTCTCAAGTAATACAGTTATTATTTCTCATAGGAAATTTAATATTTATACTGAAATAATTTTGAATTTTCCAGAAGATCGTTGTTGTTGTTTTGTTTTGTTTTTTTTTGTCATCTACTTGTCATTCTTTACAAATCTTTCTTTCACTTTGGTGATGGAACTAATCACCCAGATATGGAGTTAGCTGCTAAGGCCACAAGCCCTCTTTCATGATATTGCTCTTAAAGGCCTCTTGTGTTTTTGCACTGGGCCACTTTTTTTGACAGTTGCTCCTCTGCTGTTGAGACTTGCATGGGAAGAAATGAACCATAACAGTGTTTCTTAGCTTGAGTAAGATTATTTTCCTTTTATCTGTCATATCATGGGTGCAGACTTTTCTATTGCTTTTTAAAAAGTTAATATTTCATAATTTAATCCTGTGCCCATAAAGCAATTTCACCTCTTCTCTACTTACTTGTTTTTCTTATCAAAACACAACTTTGTTGTATTTCGGGGCTAGAATTCAAGGAAATTAGTTTGAACTGTTCTTTTGATAACAGAAATAGAGAGGGCTGTTACAGCCCAACGTGTTTCTTGGTTGGGAATTTCAGGATTATGTCCTTTTCCTTATTCACCTCCTGGAATCCTTAGCCTCTGAAAGGAAGCTTTTCTGTGTCACAGGACTGGAAGACCCAAATTCTCATTGATTTTTAGCATAAATTTTTAAAAATTGTGTTTAAAAATCAAGCAGTGACCTATCCTATAACAGATGTACAGAAATATCAACTGAGCTGTCAGGGAAGCCTGGTCCAATGTTAGGCTGTATATATTTAAGTAGAAGAGAGGAATTCTGTTTCCTGTGTACCCAGCCAGCTTTTTGTTCGATAAGATGTTGCCCATATCCCTGTCAATCCGCTTCTTGGTCCTTAAAGAGAACCTCATCCACAGGGCTTCACCCAGAAATGAGTTCATTGCTAAGTGTGGTTGTAGGGTGAATGTTAAATGTAATGTGATTAGCACATGACTGCCATATAATTTTAAGTGTCTTTATTTAGAGAATGGTAATTTGAAAGAAAAAGATATACTCATTTTGCCCCTTGACCTGACTAACAGAAGTTCTCATGAAATGGCTACCAAAGCAGTTCTCCAGGAGTTTGGCAGAGTAAGTAGCATTTTGAGTGCATGAATCTTGCTTTGAAGTAGCTGCAAAAGAGATTCCTATCTGTGGTGCTATCATTCAAAGGGCTGTAGGCTAATGGGTTCATGAAGCATCTCACTTCAGCTCAAGGGCCCAGCCGGGTCTCTTAATCTCTGAATCTGTGGCTTTATGTATTAATAATTGGAACTTTTCCTACCTTAATAAATTAACTCCTCCATGTAGAACAAAAGAAGCTAAAGATTCACTGTGCCTATTATTTCTGTTACATTATTTTCCATAAAAAGCCACTTAAGGTGGGAATTTAATTCCATAGGTGAATTTTGCTTTTATCTTTTCTGTTGCTGACCTCTGGAAATATACTGTCCTGTTCCATTGATTTATCAAGTTAACAGTATTAACTAACCATCCCTAGGAATTCCAACAATCCATCTAAGTCATCCCTAAAGTACCCCCTTTCTGATTTTCTTTACTTAGATCGACATTCTGGTCAACAATAGTGGAGTATCCCAGCGTGCTTTGTGTGTGGACACCAGCCTGGATGTCTTCAAAGAGCTAATAGAGCTTAACTACTTAGGGACGGTGTCCTTGACAAAGTGTGTTCTGCCTCACATGATTGAGAGGAAGCAAGGAAAAATTGTTACTGTGAATAGCATTGTGGGAATTATAGCTGCACCCCTTTCTACTGGATACTGTGCCAGCAAACATGCTCTTCGGGTAAGGCTGTTAAAACTCACCTCTGATAGAACTGACCTGAACGTGTGTATGGAACATTTATTGTAAGAGATCACTGGGACTAGGTAGTGATGTTTGGAGACAGAGAGACCCAAGAAGATCTTGAGTAGAAGACTTACCCAGAAGATGCTAAAAAGACTTGAGCCTCACATGCCTCTTCCTAATTCTGCAAACATCCAATGAGTACCTACACTGTGTCATACACTGCAACATATCCTGGGAATATAAAGATTATATGATCCCTGCCCTTACAAACTGTATAGTCTAGTTGACATGTCACCCTTTACCTTGTCCTTATTTCTACCGCATCTTCATGGCAAATTTGGGGTCTACCCCTGTTTCTTCTACACACATTTCAGGATTCTACATACATTTACTTGTCCTCATTTCTGTGACTTTGTTTCCTTCCCCTTTGTTGTTGGTGTTTATTTTACCTGAATTTCTAAATGTACATGCCTATCAGAAATAGAAACTTCCCACTGGGTGAATTAGCCCTACGCGTCAAATCCCTACTGGGTCTAGCCTTGACTCTGTTTACTATGACTTCATTAGAAGAAGAAAATCTAGTTGAGGCAGAGTTTAGGAGAAAGTTTAATTTGGCTTGTGTCACTTATGAAATATGAGTACTAGAAATGAATAAATTTTTAATGTTGGCTTAAGAATGGATAAGAAGAAACTGTAACTATATACACCATAACATGGAGCAAATTAAGTTGTAAGGCCAATAGGAGGAAAATGATTAATAGAGACATGTGATATATAATTAATGCTGTTGAAGGTCAGTTTACATAGAATGTTTCACTGTTGGAATAATAAGATGCAACAGTTGAATGGTCATCAGTTTCATGAAAATTTGAAGCTTTGGTTCCATAGGATCCTCTTTCTGCTGTGAAGAGCAGACAATTGCAGAGAGTGATGAAATGAAATACTGCACTGATGATTTCCTCATATTTGGTAATAGGGTGTCAGTTACTTCCAGCAGGGCAGTTGGGCAACTCTCAGGCAGGCACACGAGGGAAGGTGGCCACCCCATCTGTTTGGTACCCAGTATCCCAGAAGACATGCAGGATGCTTTCAATCAAACACAGTAGAAGCTGTCTGGCCTGCCCTCCAAACTGTTTTGTACTGGATTTGATTGTCTGATACCATGTGTCAAGTTAAGATCTAGTTATACCAGTAGCCGAACACTGAAACCAGGAGTCTCTTTTTGAAGGGCACATTTCCTTCCCTGATACTCAGCAAGCTAGAGAGTGAACTTACTTGTTGAAAAGTTCACACACTATACTAGATGTGATTTCAAGCAAGGAGGAGTTTTAGTGTCTGGAGTATTGGCTTTCATGGTGTCCTCTCCCCTCTTTTGCTATAGAGGGGCAGAAGGTTAAAGTTCATTCATTCATTTACAAAGCCTTTTTTCCTGTCCATTTGAGTCAGGCACTGTATTAGTCTTGGACAGCACAAACCTTCAAAGGCCTTGTGTTTGTTAGGCATCAGCATTAAAGGTTGGTAACTGTTTAATGTTATTGGATCATAAATGAATGTACCTATGTTGGCTGCTTAGGCTTTTCAAAGTTAACTCAGTTTATCACAATGTAGTCTTGGAATATTTCCTGATTTAGGAGAAGAGATGAGGAGAAGTAGATGTTTACTTCCTATTTGGTTTAGAAATGGGCAGTATCTTTTAAGTCTGGAGGGTCTACCTTGTTTTTACAAAAGTCATTGAGTAAGCAATCATATTACATTTTTAACTAGCCATGTACTCTTACTACACCTAAAATAAAAATTTTTGCTGAAACTAATAGCCTCTTCAGATAGTAATTGAAAAAATGGAACTGTTCCTCTATGATAGTTTCCCTTAAGTACTAATTCCAACTTGCTTCCTGTTGCCCTATCATCTGTACTTTAGGCCATTTTTAGGGATCATCGAAAGAAGTCCAGCCTCAATGATGCTCAGTGAACATGCAACCCTTTTGGAGTGGGGAGCTGGCAACTGGGTATCAGACTCTTAAAGGGTAGTCTCTCACTTATTCAGTGCAAAATCACTGATGGCACAAGCTAAACCAGTGCCATCAGGGGGATGAACCACTCATACCTGAAAAGAGTTACGAATGCCAGTTCTAGATTGCCTGCGGTCTTATCTTTAAAAATGCCTCATCTTGTGTAATTACATTCCCTGTCCTTTACTCGGGCATTTTTCAGAACACATTTTGATAATGTGCTGCTATTGTCCTTCATAAAAAGTTGAAGAAAAGTAATTTTGTACTATTAGTAAACATGATATATGTGTCTGTATTTATTTGTTTTTTGTTTTTGTCTTTTAGGGATTTTTTAATACCCTCCGAACTGAACTTACCACCTACCCAGGTATAACAATTTCTAACATTTGCCCGGGACCTGTGCAATCAAATATTGTGAAAAATGCCCTAACTGAAGAAGTCACAAAGGTAAAATTTCTAGTTGGTGAATAATTTGAATGCTTTAGTAGTCATACCCTGGCCTTACATCACTATGCCTCAGGGTTTTCATGTTAGAATCCCTTATGAATTATTTACATAACTTAACTCAACATTAGGAAAGTTGTTATGGTTAGCTGATAGTGCTTTGGCATCCAGCTTTAGTAACAGCTAAAGAAATTACTAAGATACTGCTTATAAGTGATCCACTATTATGTGGGCTATCAATATTTTAAAAACCCAGTTTTAATCAATTCACAAATCATAGTAATGTTCAAAGTTCTGTGTGGCTGAATTTTAGTAAATTAAATCTTACTGGGATTTTAAAAGGGATTATGGTGAAGGAACTTAGCAAAACCCCCCTTGTTGAGATGTAGTAGTTTTAGGTTGACCTCACCCAGGCTTGTGCTTTCCTCAGCTCATAGATTACACGTAATTAATCTATCAAATGAACAATAAATGTCTCATGAAGAATCCAGTATCACTCCATAATACAAAAAACTCTCTAAAGACCATGAAATTTTCCTTCTTCTCCACTAATATTTCTACTGAGATATAAATCTATATGTATCCATGTAAATGTTTATCTATACAATTTATATTTTGCATTTTCTATGGAGGCACTATAGTAAAATAGAATAAGCACAATGTTACAGGAATCAGGGGACCTGGAATATAGAACTGGTTACTACCAAATGGTCTGTGTGAGCACAGATAAAAGTTACTGCCTTTCTGGGCTTCAGTTTATTTGTAAAACAGTAATGGGTTAACTAGAGTAGTAGTTCCAAATTTTTTCAATATCAAGAAACCACTTTTATCTTCTTTCTCTATTTCATCCTCATGGACTCCATGTTTTATAGAACTTCATTTGCTAAATGTATGTATTAATAATTTGTTTAAAATTATTAAAATGACATAGACTTATCATTAAGTTCTTTAAGATGGTACAATTCTAACTAAAAGTGAATAACTGTTATCTTTTAGTTAGCCGGCACACTTATCTGGTTTATATGAGTTCTATTAGGTTTTCTGAAATATATAGCTTATGTGTGCATGTTTAATCAGGTCTGACTCTGCGACCCCATGGACTGCAGCTCACTAGGCTCCTCTGTTCATGGAATTTTCCAGGCAAGATTACTGAAGTGGGTTGTCATTTCCTCCTTTAGGGCATCTTCCAGACCTAGGGATCAGACCTAGGGATCAAACCCGCATCTCTTTCAATGGCAGGAGAGCCCTGTGCCTCCTGGGAAGCCCACAAATAGCTTACAGGCACCCCTTAGTGCCTATGTGGACTCCTGAGGGGCATGAGGCCACAGTAAAGGAATCACTCAACTGGATGTCTACTAAAAGTTCTGTGAGATACCCTAGATAAATAGTCATCACTCATGAATTTTTCAAAATTTTCTTAGACTACAGGCAGCACTGCAGATGAGTCCTACAAGATGGCAACCAGTCGTTGTGTGCGGCTGATGTTAGTCACCATGGCCAATGATTTGAAGGAAGTTTGGATTGCTGATCACCCTTTTTTGCTAATGTTCTATTTGTGGCAATATATGCCAACCTTGGCCTGGTGGTTAACCAACAAAGCAGCAAAGAGAAGGATTGAGAACTTCAAGAGTGGTGTGGTAAGTCCAATTTATACATTTCTGAATTCATATCAGTCTTGTAGGAAAGCATGAAATTTTCCAATGCTTAAAAACTTTTCTTACTGTCTGCCAATCTCATGATATATTAATAAATACAAAAGATATATAAAGTTTCCCATCCCCAATGCATATCTGTCAGTTTACTGTAAATTACTACTGGTCTTGGAGAAAGTTTTCTACAAGGTAAAAATCAAATCAAAGATTGCCATTTTTTTCTTCTACGTTGCTCTTTGGCCAGTGTATGTGCCAAAATGCTTTTTCTCCACCATGTCTCCCCACAAACTCCAACCCATCCTACGAGTCTCTACATTCTGTAAGTGTCACCTCCTTGGGTTGATACCTGGCCTCCCATCCCATTTCTCCCCAGGACTAGGTGCACGTCAGCCCTCTGTCAAAGCACTCACCTGTAGTACTGGTTCCTTTAACTTTGTTCCAGAAGGTTGGTTTGCACATCTGAAATGTGCCTATGTCCGTGTTTAGGAAAACTTGCTGATAACTTATTCCTTCAGCACTCATTTTTCCAGAAAAGTGAGGAATGTTAAATGAACTGGTGAAAAATGAAACAAAAAACGAAATACCAACCAAAATACCTAAAGAGACTTAAAGGTTCTAAAACTTTCAATATGCACTAACATGTTTAGAACTTGAGAAATCACAAAGAGGGCTATTCATTTTATACTAACCAGTTTGTGTGGGTCAAAACATTTATAAGTAATTTCATAATGTTGGAACTTGGTACTGTGGGGGTGGTTCTAAAGGTAGAGCTTCATCAAATATTGCATCAGAGTCTGAAATTTAGAGGACAGCAGATAAAGTGGCATTGTGCCCAGTGATAGATAAGAGTTGAGGGGGAAAGTAAGTTCACCTTACTAAAGAGGTGAACCAACATTCTGGTTAAAAGCATGGAACAAGGTGCTGGGCTACCTAGGCTGAAATCCTAGCTATACCTCATACTCATCCTACAGCCTCAGGCAAGTTATTTCTCTATATCTCAACCTCCCCATCTACAATACTTTGGCCACCTGATAAGAAGAACTGACTCATTGGAAAAGACCCTGATGCTGGGAAAGATTGAAGGCAGGAGGAGAAGGGGATGACAGAGGATGAGATGGTTGGATGGCATCACCGACTTGATGGACCTGAGTTTGAGCAAGCTCCGGGAATTGGTGATAGACAGGGAAGCCTGGTGTGCTGCAGTCCATGGGGTTGTGAAGAGTTGGACACAACTGAGTGAACTGAACTGAACCGAACCATCTACAAAATGAAGATTACTGTTAATAGTAGCACCTAGTCATAGGATTGTTATGGGGATTAAATGAGTTAGTATGTGGAACACTCTTAAAACATACCATGGTGTGTTACAGTCATTAAGTATTAGCTGTTACTGCTTTTGTTTTGATGGCAGGAGGATATTTAGCAAACAGACAGTAAAGATTAAAGAATTAAATAATATGGCAGAGGGAGAATGCATTATAGAAATCACTGTTTCAGAGGGGAAAGAAAGACTAGAGGCTAGAGTTTCAATCCCATTATAGCAGTTGTTCATAAGAAGGTTAGTTTGTTTTGTTTACAGAATATCAACAGAATACTTAACATAAATCTTGGGCTTCCCTAGTGCCTCAGTAAAGAATCCACCTGCCAACTCGGGAGATGCAAGTTCAATACCTGGGTCAGGAAGATCCCCTGGAGAAGGCAACGGCAACCCACTCCAGTATCCTTGCCTGGGAAATCCCAGGGACAGAGGAGCCTGATGTGCTATACACCATGGGTAGCAAAAATGTCGGACACGACTTAGCAACTAAACAACAGCAGTGTAAATATAGGCATTGCATTACATCTAACATTTGCTAAAAATCATGACTTCTCTCTTCCTACCAACATATTTGAATTATTGCTTATTAGGTGGTCTGACTGCTTTATCACTTTATGATAAACTAGGCATCCTTTCATTTCCCCAAATCATTTTGAGATATATCTTATTCTTTACACAAAACCCTAGAAACTTTAAGAAGTTGTTCACTTTTTTTTACTTCTCTCCTCATTGCTCTTTCCTCCCTGTTATTTTGTATTGTGTATATTCATCTCCTTATTGAAATTTGTTTGTAAGAATCTCAGTTAAGAGAATGCCACTATTATTCCAAAACTAAATGTTGTTGTTGTTATTCAGTCACTAAGTTGTGTCTGACTCTACAATCTCATGGATTATAGCACCCCAAGCTCTTCTGTCCTTCACTGTCTCCTGGAGTTTGCTCATATCCATGTTCATTGAGTCGGTGGTGCTCTCTAACCATCTCATCATCTGTTGCCCCCTTTTCCTTTTGCCTTCAATATTTCCCAGCATCAGGGTCTTTCCCAGTGAGTCAGCTCTTCTCATCAGGTGGCCAAAGTATTGGAGCTGCAGCCTTAACATCAGTCCTCCCAATGAATATTAAGGGTTGCTTTCCGTTAGGATTGATTGGATTGATCTCCTTGCAGTCCACAGGACTCTTGAAAGTCCTCTCCAGCACAATTTGAAAGCATCAATTCTTTGGTGCTCAGCCTTCTTCATGATCCACCTCTCAAATCCATACATGACTACTGGAAAAACTATGACTTTGATTATGCAGACCTTTGTTGGCAAAGTGATGTCTCTGCTTTTTAATACATCGTCTAGGTTCGTCATAGCTTTCCTTCCAAGGAGCAAGTCTCTTAATTGCATGACTGCAGTCACTATCCACAGTGATTTTGGAGCCCAAGAAAAGAAACTCTGTCAGTGCTTCCACTTCTATTCCCCTTCCATGAAGTGATGGAACCAGATCCCATGATCTTAGTTCTTTGAATGTTGAGTTTTAAGCCAACTTCTTCACTCTTCTCTTTCACCTTTACCAAGAGGCTCTTTAGTTCCTTTTTATTTTCTGCTATTAGAGTGGTATCATCTGCAGATCTGAGGTTGTTGATATTTCTCCCAGCAGTCTTGATTTCAGCTGGTGATTCATCCATCCCAGCATTTTGCATGATGTACTTTGCATAGATGTTAAATAAGCAGGGTGACAATATATAGCCATGTTGTACTCCTTTCCCAATTTGGAACCAATTGTTCAACATCTAGTTCTAACTGTTTCTTCTTGACCCATATTCAGGTTTCTCAGGAGACAGATAAGGTGGTCTCTTAAAGAATTTTCTGCAGTTTGCTGTGATCCACACAAAGGCTTTAGTGTAGTCAGTGAAGCAGAAATAGATGTTTTTTTCTGGAATTCCCTTGCTTTCTGAGTGATCCAACAAATGTTGGCAATTTGACCTCTGGTTCCTCTGCCTCTTGGAAACCCAGCTTGTACATCTGGAAGTTCTTGGTTTGTGTACTGCTGAAGCCTAGCTTGAAGGATTTTCAGCATACCCTTGCTGGCACATGAAATGAGCACAGTTGTACAGTAGTTTGAATATTCTTTGGCATCACCAAATGAACCAAGATCATTCTGTCATTTATCTCCTGCTTGACCACATTCAATTTACCTTGATTCATGGATCTAACATTCCAGGTTCCTATGCAATATTGTTCTTTACAGCATTAGACTTTACTTTCACCACCAGACACATCCACAACTGAATGTTGTTTCCGCTTTGGCCCAGCCACTTAATTCTTTTTTTTTTTCCATTAGTATACTGTATTGGTGTTTATCTTTCTGGCTTACTTCACTCTGTATAATGGGCTCCAGTTTCATCCATCTCATTAGAACTGATTCAAATGTATTCTTTTTAGTAACTGAGCAATATTCCACTGTGTATATGTACCATAGCTTTCTTATCCATTCGTCTGCTGATGGACATCTAGGTTGATTTCATGTCCTGGTTATTATAAACAGTGCTGCGATGAACATTGGGGTACACGTGTCTCTTTCAGTTCTGGTTTCCTCGGTGTGTATGCCCAGGAGTGGGATTGTTGGGTCATATGGCAGTTCTATTTCCAGTTTTTTAAGGAATCTCCACACTGTTTTCCATAGTCCAGCCACTTAATTCTTTATGGAGCTAGTAGTAATTGCCCTTTGCTCTTCCTCAGTAGCATATTGGACACCCTCTGACCTTAGGGGGCCCATTTTCTGGTGTCCTGTCTTTTTGTCTTTTCATACTGTCCATGAGGTTCTCTAGGCAAGAATTTGTTTCTGTTCTTTAGGCTAGGAACAGTATGTCTGGAACTTTGTTTTGATGTATTGTTATTAATTTTAGGCATCAAAAACAATAACATCATTGAATTTTATGTTATAATTTGGTTTTGTCTTATTTAGTGTAAATTCTTGAAAGTGGTAAATGGGTATCTCCCCAAATGAAATGTCACCTCTTAGAAATTACTGAATTGCCTTGTTTTACTCTTTAAGCAATATACTAAAAGTTCACAAATGATTTTGGAGTTATCTTTCAAGTATTTTAATTCTAAAGACTCTTTGTATTTATTAAAGCAAGCCAGTGTAGGTATGACATGCTGATCAGAAGAATAATAGAAATTTCAGCATTTATGAAATGGCATACTCAGATGTTAACAAATGACAGGGAAATAATGTTGCTAAGCTCCTTAGAGCTATTTTGTTTAGCTCTACAATTTTGGCTATGATTTTTATTCCTATTTAAGTATTTTTCCAAGGATTTATAAGGATTCTCAACAGTGAATCATAATGATTTAGCTTCTCAAAACAGAAGGAATTAATTGTCAAAAACTGGGGTAGAAGAAACTGATTCATGTTTCTGTTATTCTGTTATAGGATGCAGATTCCTCTTATTTTAGAAGTGTGAAAAAAAAACATGACTGAAGGAGTACTTGCATTTTTCAAGCCACTGGAAAGAGAAATGGAAAACACAAAAAACGGCGATCTTCTTACACATTGAAGAATAATTTGTCATTTTATTTCTTAATAGATATAACTTTCTTTTCAATATGTAATAAATAACAAGAATGACAGGAGTCTTGCCATAATTATGTTAATACCTATTACATTCCTGGGTAAGGTACTCTAGTATATATGCTTAAAATTTAGGTTAGCACAATGCTAACCAAAGAATTACAGTAATCCATTTACCATAAATGCATGGGCTATTACATGAAGCAGAGTACTGGACAGCGGGCAGATACAAAGAAGTGTCTGAAACGGTCCTGCCTCCAAGGTGCTTATATTCTCTTGGAAGAGTTCACAGGTACATATGACTGGAATTTGACGCCATAGGTAGGACTCATAGCAGCCATTATTTTTAAAAACCTGTTATATGTCATTTGCTGTACTGAGGTGGTTTGTAATTAGTTAATTAACTTATTCCTCATAACAGCCCTCTAAGGTAGGTGGTATTATCCACCTTTGTAGATGAAGAAAGAAATGCCCAAAGCAAGTAGATGTTACTTTCCCAAGGTCACAGAGCTAGTAATGGGTAAAGCCTGGGTTAAACTCAGCTCAGGAAGATTCCATTGGTGACTTCTTACTTTAGTTATTATTGTCAATTTTACTTTAACCTTTAGTGTCTTACAGTAGAAAACATGCATAGGCTACAAGAGAAAACCAACAAATGTTCCTTGACTATTTACTGTCAAGGGAGAACAGGGGAAGAAAAACATGGTTCTCATTGATAAGTGGTTCACATTTTAGTTATAGACAAGGTTCAGTTCAGTTCACTCACTCAGTCATGTCTGACTCTTTGAGACCCCACAAACTGCAGCATGCCAGGCTTTCCTGTCCATCACCAATTCCCGGAGCTTGTTCAAACTCATGTCCATCAAGTTGGTGATGCCATCCAACGATTTCATCCTGTCACGCCTTCTCCTCCTGCCTTCAATCTTTCCCAGCATCAGGGTCTTTTCCAATGAGTCAGTTCTTCGCATCAGGTGGCCAAAGTACTGGAGCCATCAGTCTTTCCAGTGAATATTCAGGACTGATTTCCTTTAGGATGGACTGGTTGGATCGCCTTGCAGTCCAAGGGACTCTCAAGAGTCTTCTCCAATACCACACTTCAAAAGCATCAATTCTTCGGCACCCAGGTTTCTTTACGGTCCAACTCTCACATCCATACATGACTACTGGAAAAACCATAGCTTTGACTAGTTGGACCTTTGTTGGCAAAGTAATGTCTCTGCTTTTTATTATTTTTTTATTTTTTTTACAAACAAAAATAAGTTTATTTACAAAAAATACAATAATTACAAAGAGTATAAATTGAGATGATTTCTCCTCTTCCTATGACAAAAAGTAATAGCCTTTACTTTCAGATGAGGGTTTCTGTTATATAATGCACACTGAGTGATCCCGCTGCTCTTGTTTATGCTTTTCTAAATAAGTGCAGGAGGCCTACTAATGATATGTACATGGGTCATTTTCCTCAAATCTTATTTTCAGTACTATGCACAAGTCCAACACAATTGGAACAGAACAAGGTAAGACAGCATTGAACTGAAAAAGCTTTACCACAACAGTAAAGTGTGATTTTTCTTTAAGTATTAACCTAGTGGTTTAGAACTGACACCTAATTTTTGGCTTTAAAAAAAAATCCACTATGATTTTTAATGGGCAGAACAATTCTACAGCCAACATCACCTGGCTAGCTTTCCACATTCGCCATTTAAGAAACAGATTTCTATAGTACTCAATTCTGTATGCTTTTCGTCTTACGGTTTCTAATCAGAGTAACTGCCGCTGCTTGAGGAATCCGTTGACATAACCTCTACATCGTCCTTGTTTTCTTTGTTGTGCCCTGGAGGTTCCAACAGAAAATCATGACTGTGGTTTGGTGGCAACATGTTCATCGCCATGTCATTTTACTGCCAGGGATACTGCCATCTGGCAGTCTGCCCGCTGCCAAGTGCGTCCCCTGGGAGATGACCATTTACTCCATTAGTGGAAAGATTGTTCACACTGATCCAGTAATCCACTTCTCATCTCCAAATCAGTTGGGTATGGTCTCTGTGGGTCCCCTGGGACCCAGGTCAGTGGGGCACACACAGCATTACTTGCACTAATCCTATGTGCATACTTAATTATTTCTTCAGAGGAAATAGCACCTTTTCTTGCTTTTTCTATTGACTTGAGTTTTTATTTTGCTTGGTAAACAGCTGTTGCCAGTATCTGTTCTGCTTCCTGTAGCTGTTTTTGTAGTTGCTGAATATCACTGTCTCTCTTTTCTATTTCTTTTTCTAAAACTTGCATTTCATGATGGATTTTTCCCTGATTAAGTGCCAATTTCATTAGTTCCTGAAATTCCCCATCTCTGTGAATTAACAACTCCAGGACCTGGTTCTCCTCTCCAGACTGTAGCAACTTTTGGTTTCTTGAAATTGCCAGCATTTCTATAAGTTCTCTCGGCAAGACCTCCAGATCTTTCAGAGCTGACAGCAGCCGCTCTTGCATGCTGTTACCACCGGCAGCTCCTAAGCCGCCGCCTGGCCGCTCCTTCTCCCTCTCGCCGCTCGACGCCACCACCATGCTGCCCACAGACCAGCGTGCGCACAGCTGTGCACTGGCCATGTCTCTGCTTTTTAATATGCTGTCTAGGTTGGTAAAGAATCTGCCTGCAATGCAGGAGACCCAATCCCTGGGATGGGAAGATCCCCTGGAGAAGGAAATAGCAGCCCACTCCAATATTCTTGCCTGGAGAATCCCAAGGACAGAGGAGCCTGGCAGGCTACAATCCATGGGTTTGCAAGAGTAGGACACGACTTAGTGACTTCACCACCACCACCACTAGGTTGGTCATAGCTTTTCTTCCAAGGAGCAAGCGTTTTTTAATTTCATGGCTGCAGTCACCATCTGCAGTGATTTTGGAGCCCAAGAATGTAAAGTCTGTCACTGTTTCAATTGTTTTCCCATCTATTTGCCATGAAGTGATGGGACCAGATGCCATGATCTTAGTTTTCCGAATGTTGAGCTTTAAGCCAAATTTTTCACTCTTCTCTTTCACTTTCATCAAGAGGCTCTTTAGTTCTTCACTTTCTGTCATAAGGGTGGTGTCATCTGCATATCTAAGGTTATTGATATTTCTCTCGGCAATCTTGATTAGTACCCATAAAATTAACTGGAATAGTTGCTGGAGAGGCTGGAGGCCACCCTGGTGGCTTCCCTTGGGAAATGTGGAAGGTGTAAAGGGTAGAGTGACACCATGGGGTACAGCATGGGGTACAACATAAAGCAAGTAAAAGCAATGGAATAAATGCACACATGGCAACAGCTTAGAGCATCAGTTCAGTTCAGTTGCTCAGTCGTGTCTGACTCTTTGGGACCCCATGAATCGCAGCACGCCAGGCCTCCCTGTCCATCACCACCTCCTGGAGTTTACCCAAACTCATGTCCATCGAGTTGGTGATGCCATCCAGCCATTTGATCCTCTGTCGTCCCCTTCTGCTCCTGCCCCCAATCCCTCCCAGCATCAGGGTCTTTTCCAATGAGTCAGTTCTTTGCATCAAGAGGCCAAAGTACTGAAGTTTCAGCTTCAGCATCAGTCCAATGAATACCCAGGACTGATCTCCTTTAGGATGGACTGGCTGGATCTCCTTGCAGCCCAAGGGACTCTCAAGAGTCTTCTCCAACACCACAGTTCAAAAGCATCAATTCTTTGGTGCTCAGCTCTCTTCACAGTCCAACTCTCACACCCATACGTGTCCACTGGAAAAACCATAGCCTTGACTAGATGGACCTTCCTTTGTTGGCACAGTAATGTCTCTGCTTTCTAATATGCGGTCTAGGTTGGTCGTAACTTTCCTTCCAAGGAGTAGGCGTCTTTTAATTTCATGGCTGCAATCACCATCTGCAGTGATTTTTGGAACCCAAAAAAATAAAGTCTGACACTGTTTCCACTGTTTCCCTATCTATCCTAGAGCATAGTGATGAGTAAAGAAAGCAAATGATAAACTAGAACACAATTCTGTTTAGATACACTTAAATTTATGTACATAGAAGATAGTGCTCATTTTGCCCACAGGGGATCCCAGATAATGGGATTAGACACAGGCTGGGAAATTATGTTTGGTATATTTGAAGATTTTGAAACACAAAATGGAGAATTTCAGCAGCAACCTGTGTCCATTGATGGATAAAGAAAATGTGGTATATAGATATTGATACAATGCAATAACTCAGCCATTAAAAAAAATCTAGCCACTTGAGACAACATGGATGGATCTAGAGGGGTATTATGCTGAGTGAAATGTGTCAGACAAAGAAAAATACCACATAATCTCACTTAAATGTGTAATCTAAAAAACAAAACAAAAAAAAAACCAGACACATAGCCATGGACAAGAAACAGGAGATTGATGGGTGGGGGCAAAATAGGTGAAGGGGATTCAGAGGTACAAACCTCTAATTATAAACCCCTGTGGGTTTGTTCCTATTGTCTTGCTTTTCCTGGATTTTGATCATGTTGTCTTATCTCCTCAGGTGTTTTAGATTTTCCAACATAAATATGAAAAATTATAAAAATAATTAAAAAGTCCAGAGAAGATTAATATTTTCTCAGGGTAGCAGTTAGGTACACTACAAATCTAGGATCACCTTAATCCAATTTTGAAAAGATTTGGGCTTAGTTGTTCAGTTGTGTCTGACTCTTTGCGACCCCATGGACTGCAGCCCACCAGGCTCCTCTTGGGAGCCTTGGAAAATCCCACTTTGGGATTTTCCAGGCGAGAATACTGGAGTGGGCTGCCATTTCCTTCTCTAGGAGATCTTCCCGATCCAGAATCGAACCAGGGTCTCCTGCATTGCAGGCAGATTATTTAACAGGTGAGTTACCAGGGAAGCCCCTCGAAAAGATTGAAACGATTCAAAATTGATCAATTTTTTTTTACCCTCCTTCTTTGGAGAGCCCTAGATAGACTCAATCTTTAACACTTTAACTTAGTAGGAAGTCTGCCAAAAGTGTTAGTTGTCTTCCCAGCCACCTCCTCCTGAATCGACCAATGTTCCTAGAAGAAAAGCAGCTCAAATGCTGAGCTCAGGTCTCGAAGTTTCATTCTGCCTTGGGTCTTGGTGATATAATCCTTCACTGTCTTCTTGACTCACTGATACTTTTGACACAGATTTTAAAATCTTTTGCACAGCTTCCCTAGTTCTCTGTGAGATGTCTGATGTGAATTACATGTGTACTACTAAAAGCGGAAGTCAGAGAAGCTGGTTTTAGGGCAAGTTCAATAAGGTCAAGCTATTTTGATTGTATCAGATGGAGATCAATGGTTACATATACAGGTGCAGTGCTAAGAGAGGTTAAGTACATGTATTTGAACATCATTAATTTATTGATGATATGTAAGGTTTTGGGAGTGAATGCGATTGTCTATGATGAAATGTAGAGTAAGAAGAGGTGGCCTGAACCACTTATTAAGAAATTCCAAAATTCAGAGGTCAGGCAGAAAAGGAAAAGCGGTAAAGGCAACTGAGGAGTAGTTAGGGAGACAAGAAGAAAATGAAGATCATGTGGTATTAGGGAAGTTCAAAAGAAAAAAAAGGTGACTCAAGCAGTTGTCAAAAGTGTCAAGTGCTGCTTAAGAAAGTGAAGTTGCTCAGTCGTGTCTGACTCTTTGCGACCCCATGGACTGTAGCCTACCAGGATCCTCTGTCCGTGGGATTTTCCAGGCAAGAATACTGGAGTGGGTTGCCAAATAAGACAGGAATATAAAAGTCACTGTAGTGGACCCTTGAACAGTGCTGGGGTTTTAATCTGTATATAATCTATAGTAGGCCCTATGTTTCCATGGAAACAATTTCAGACCGCGTAGTAGCTTAGCATTTACTAATGAAAAAAATCCACGTACAAGTGAACCTGCACAGTTCAAATCTACGTTGTTCAAGGGTCAACTGTAGTTGGTTTGATAATATACAAGTAAATAATGACTTTAATAAAAACTTTATTTTGGGGCAACAGTAGAAATGGAATCCAAACAGGAACATTTTGACAAGTGAATGAAGATGAGAAAACTTGGCCATGAATGAATGGCAAGACATTGAGGCAGTCTGAGAAGAATCCATGGCAAAGGGAAAGCATGGCATGGCACTATTATAATAGTGTAAATCTTTAAACAACTTAAAATGCCCATTATTTGAGGGATAGTCTAATACTCTGTTATTTATATCTATTAAAGTTATATAATCACTAAAACGGATAATTAGCGCGCAGAGTCGGACACGACTGAGCGACTGAACTGAACTGAACTGAATGATATGAGAAAATTTCCGTCGGTGACAAAAAAGATATATACATAATATATATGTGTCTGTGTATGTATGTACTGTTGCTGTTTAGTTACTAAGTCGTGTTCAACTCTTGCGACTCCATGGAAAGTAGCCCGCCAAACTTCTCTGTCTATATGTGTGTGTATATATATATATTTCCAGCTAATACATCTCAATTACATAAATCATAAGCCTGAGATCCAAACTCAGATGTAACACCAAATCCCATTTTAATAACTATACTATATTGCTTCCCCCAAAATGACTAACACACAAATCTCGTGAATTCATTAACTGAAATTAGTCCAAAAAAGTATCCTTCAACATTGCTGTACTGAACTGTTCCACATAATAAAGGAATAATAGTAATAAAAACCTAATTGGTACATTTAAAATAATTTCAGTCATTACTATAGAGAATGTATTATTGTACTACCAACCCAGGAGGCTACTACAGACTAAATAAAGGGTTCTATAGATGAAAATAGTAAAGGTAGAATAAAGGCACAATAAAGGACAGAAACGGTATGGACCTAATAGAAGCAGAAGATAGTAAGAAGAGGTGGCAAGAATACACAGATGAACTATGCAAAAGATAATTTAATGACCCAGATAACCACAATAGTGTGATCAGTCACCTAGAGCCAGACATTCTGGAATGCAAAGTCAAGTGGGCCTTAGGAAGCATCACTACAAACAAAGCTAGTAGAGATGATGGAATTCCAGCTGAGCTATTTCAAATCCTAAAAGATGATACTATGAAAGTGCTGCACTGAATATGCCAGCAAATTTGGAAAGCTCAGCAGCGGCCACAGGACTGGAAAAGGTCAGTTTTCATTCCAATCTCAAAGAAAGGCAATGCTAAAGAATGTTCAAACTCCTGTACAATTGCATTCATTTCACACACTAGCAAAGTAATGCTCAAAGTTCTCCAAGCTAAGCTTCAACAGTACATGAACCAAGAACTTCCTGATGTTCAAGCTGCATTTAGAAATGGCAGAGGAACCAGAGATCAAATTGCCACATCCATTGGATTATAGAAAAAGCAAGAGAATTTCAGAAAAACATCTGCATCTTTGATTATACTAAAGCCTTTGACTGTGTGGATCTCAACAAACTGTGGAAAATTCTGAAAGAGATGGGAATACCAGACTGCCTTACTTGCATCCTGAGAAATCTGTATACAGGTCAAGAATCAAGAGCTAGAATCCAGACAGGGAACAATGGACTGGTTCCAAATTGGGAAAGGAATACATCAAGACTGTATATTGTCACCCTGCTTATTCAACTTACATGCAGAGTACATCATGCAAAATGCTGGGCTGGATGAAGCACAGCTGGAATCTAGATTGCCAGGAGAAATATCAATAATCTCAGATATACAGATGACACCACTCTTATGGCAGAAAGCAAAAAGGAACTAAACAGCCTCTTGATGAAGGTGAAAGATGACAGGGAAAAAGTTGGCTTAAAACTCAACATTCAGAAAACTAAGATCATGGCATCCAGTCCCACCACTTCATGGCAAATAGATGGGGAAACAACTGAAACAGTGAGAGACTTCATTTTTGTGGGCTCCAAAATCACTGTAGATGGTGACTGCAGCCATGAAATTAAGAAACGCTTGCTCCTTGGAAGAAAAGCTATGACTAATATTAAAAATATGATGGCATATTAAAAAGCAGAGACATTACTTTGTCAACAAAGGTCCATATAGTGAAAGCTACTGTGAGTTGGACCATAAAGAAGGCTGAGTGCCAAAGAATTGATGCTTTTGAACTGTGGTGTTGGAGAAGACGCTTTTTTTTTTTTTTGATGTGTTATTCTTTATGTTATTATAAAATGCACTGTTTCTTCGGAACCTTCATAGGTGCAAAGTCAAATTTACAGACAAATGCAAAACATAACAAGAAACATGGGGTGCATCCATTTGGCAAGAGCTGAGCCTCTGTTTTCAGTCTCCATCATCTGGAGGGATACCCAATTCCTCATCTGGCCACTGGGAAGGGTCGGGATAAGGAAAGTGACCCAGCACAGCATCTGAGTCGTGTCAGAAGCGCCAGAGAATCCAGAACCACATGGTCGCACTGAAGAACTCGGCCTGGATCACCTGGGATCTGGTCAGCTGTGGGAACTGTCTATACCGGGGCTCGATGTGTGCACCTCCGCCAGCCCGACGGACGCCACAGGGTTCAGCCACCCATGGGCAGCGGCCTCTTAAGAGGTGGCCATCAATGTGAGCGAAAGGTGACAGTCGCTTCAGAGCCGACATGCCAGCCATCATTAGACCGGCCGTTGCCCAGGTCGCGCCGCCACAGCAGCTGGAGAAGAAGCCGACTCATGAGAAAAGACCCTGATGCTGGGAAAGACTGAAGGCAGGAGGAGAGGGGATGACAGAATGAGATGGTTGGATGGCATCACCAGCTCAATGGACATGAGTTTGAGCAAGTTCTGGGAGATTGTAAAGGACAGGGAAGCCTGGTATGCTGCAGTCCATGGGGTCACAAAGAGTTGAACACAACTGAGAGACTGAACAACAACAACAACATAGATGAAAACAAAGTAAGGTGCGGAGAAAACTCCTCTCAAATGATGCAGATTCATTATTTATCCTCCTTATAAGTTCCTGTAAAAAGTTCCTAAGCAGCAGAAGAATGAAAATAAAACCCTGATCACATTATGAAAATTTGTTTCCTATCTTTTTTGGCTTGAGTTCAAACAACTTAAGACAATAGTAACTGGTAGTCCTATTGGGCAAGTCATTCTTCAGAATCAGTATATTCAGTGGAAAAGAAATGCACAATGAGCCAGATCTACAGACTGGACTCTAACAGTCATAATCAGATTACCTTAATGTTGCTAATCCTGCTGAGTATTCACATGATGAATGGGATGAACCCTTTTCCTTTTAAATATATCAAAAGGCTATCTGGGGAAAAAAATTTATTTTGGAAGAGATTTTATTAAAAGTTTTTAAGCTTTCTGAATTGAAGTATATGAAAAGAAACTGAATAGATTATATGAAAACATTCAGAGGATGTTAAATGTTAAACAGCAGAAAGTTTGAAAATACTATAAAATTTAATTATATTTCAAATAAATATATATACATTTTGCAACCTTCAGTAGGATCCATTATTACTTAAAAAACATTGATATGTATATCTTTTAAGCATGTAAAATTTACATAGTTGTTGACTTCTCTAAGGCAAATCACTTATCACACATTAAAGAAAGCATTAAAAAATTCATTTTATAATCTTATACAAATGTTTTATATTTACCAAAGCCTACCACAATCCATAGGGCACAAATATTGGCCAACTAATTCTAACTTTTATATTATACATAAAGTTGTTGTTTTATACCATTAGGATATCTAAGAAAATCAACTTTATAGAGCTTAGCTTTTCTCAGGCATCTGACTTGTGGGAGGAGAGAGGTAAATCCAGTGAAGTTATAAGGAATCACAATGTTAACTTTTCTAGAATGAAAAAATAAACACATCTCATTTGCTCACAATACATTTACAAGTCAAAATGCCCTCTACACCAAATGTATATGGAGAGGTTTTGAAGAATAAATTGGATATCCCAGGGGAGGATCAGCTGCTTGTACTGTAAGGTTTCTTAAAAGTAGTGGATGAGCTTGTATACTATAACGTTCCTCATCATCGTTTGTGGCATAAAGCAATTCCCATGAAAGATTGGCCCACTGACCTCTAACAGCTTCAGCATTTAACTTCCCAACATGGATCAATAATTCCTGAAGGGTAAGTACTCTCCCAGTGTAAACTCCCTGTAAAGAAGAAAGGAGGTTGGAGGGAAAGAAAAAGAAGAGAGATTATATTCAGGCCTTTATTTATAAACTTAGAGAAAAACTCGACTGTAGCTAAGCAAACTTAAACAGAAAGTAATATATCAAAATGTACATAAGTTGCTTGTCTTCAAAATCAAGAATCACTTCTATTTGGTTGCTCTCCGACTAAGCGTGAAATAAGAAAATTTCCTGACAGACATTGTACTCACTTCTTCTTTCTTTCTTCTCTATTCCCTCACTCCATCTGGCCTCAGCAAAATGTAAGTCATAAATATTAGTCAGTGAACAATCATCCAATTATTGAGGTATATTTCATATTCCAAATAATTTAATGGCTTTTTAGTATATTCAGATATGTATAACTATCTCCACAATTTTGGGGTATTTTCAGCACCTCAAAAAGAAACTCTGTACTCTTTAGCTATCACCCTCCTATCCCTAATCCCCCCAGTCACAAGCAACAACTAATGGCTGAGTAGTATTGGTGTGTGTATGTGTGTGTGTGTGTGTGTGTGTGTACATCTTTACCCATTCAGCCGTCAGTGGATATTTAGGTTGCTTCCATGTCTTGGCTATTGGTAAACAGTGCTGTTATGAACACTAGGGTGCATGGATCTTCTTGATTAGAGTTTTTGTCTTCTTTCAGATATATGTCCAGGAGTGGGACTGTTGGATCATATGGTAACTATTTTTAGCTTTTTAGGGAAATTTTGTATTGCTCTCCATAGTGGCTGTACCTATTTACCTCCCCACCAACCGTATAAGAGGGTTCCTTGAACTCTCCACACTCTCTCCAGCATTTATTGTTTGTGGGTTTTTTTTATATTAGCTATTTTGACTCGTGTGATATTTCACCGTAGTTTTGATTTGTGTTTCTCTAGTAACTGGCAATACTGAACATTTTTCATGTTCCTTGATACCATGAGTATAATGTTAGCTGTAGGTGTCAATATGTGACCTTTATTATGTTGAGGTATGTTCCCTCTATACCCCTACCTTCTGGAAAGTATTTTATTTATCATAAATGGATGGTGAATTTTGTCAAAAGCCTTTTCTGCATTTATTGAGATGATCATATATTTTAATTTGTTACTGTGGTGTATCACATTTATTTTTTGTGGATATTAAAGAATCCTTGCATTACTCAGAAAAATCCCACTTGATTATGGTATATGATCTTCTAAATGTATTGCTGGGATAAGTGGGCTAATATTTCAATGAAAAATTGTACATCTATATTCATCATTGATACTGGCCTGTTTTTTTTAATTAATTTATTTGGAGGCTAATTACTTTACAATATTGTGGTGGTTTTTGCCATACATTCACATGAATCAGCCATGGGTGTACCTGTGTTCCCCATCCTGACCCTCCCTCACACCTCCTTCCCCATCCCATCTCTGAGGGTCATCCCAATGCACCAGCCCTGAGCACCCTGCCTCATGCATCGAAGCTGGACTGGCGATCTATCTCACATATAATAATATACATGTTTCAATGCTAGTCTCTCAAATCATCCCACCCTCGCCTTCTCCCACAGAGTCCAACAGTCTGTTCTTTACATCTGTATCTCGCATATAGGGTCATCGTTACCATCTTTCTAAATTCCACATATATGCGTTAATATACTGTATTGGTGTTTTTCTTTCTTAGTTTGTTCTGTTTAATAGGCTCCAGTTTCATCCACCTCATTAGAACTGATTCAAATGCATTCTTTTTAATAGTTGAGTAATATTCCATTGTGTATATGTACCATTTTCTTTTTTGGTACTACAACTTTCTTATCCATTCATCTGCTGATGGACATCTAGGTTGCTTCCATGTCCTGGCTATTGTAAACAGTGCTGTGATGAACATTGGGGTACATAGGTCTCTTTCAATGCTGGTTTCCTCGCCGTGTGTGCCCAGCAGTGGGATTTCTGGGTCGTATGGCAGTTCTATTTCCATTTTTTTAAGGAATCTCCGCACTGTTCTCCATAGTGGCTGTACTAGTTTGCATTCCCACCAACAATGTAAGAGGGTTCTTTTTCTCTGCACCCTCTCCAGCATTTATTGTTTGTAGACTTTTTGACAGCAGCCATTCTGTCCGGCGTGAGATGGTACCTCACTGTGGTTTTGATTTGCATTTCTCTGATAATGAGTGATGTTGAGCATCTTTTCATGTGTTTGTTAGCCATCTGTATGTCTCCTTTGGAGAAATATTTGTTTAGTTCTTCAGCCCATTTTTTGATTGGGTCGCTTATTTTTCTGGAATTGAGCCGCAGGAGTTGCTTGTATATTTTTGAGATTAATTCCTTGTCAGTTGCTTCATTTGCTATTATTTTCTTCCATTCTGAAGGCTGTCTTTTCACCTTGCTTATAGTTTCCTTTGTTGTGCAGAAGTTTTTAAGTTTAATTAGGTTCCATTTACTTATTTTTGCTTTTATTTCCATTACTCTGGGAGGTGGGTCATATAGAATCCTGCTATGATTTATGTCAGAGAGTGTTTTGCCTATGTTTTCCTCTAGGAGTTTTATAGTTTCTGGTCTTACGTTTAGATCTTTAATCCATTTTATTTTTGTGTATGGTGTTAGAAAGTGTTCTAGTTTCATTCTTTTACAAGTGGTTGACCAGTTTTCCCAGCACCACTTGGTAAAGAGATGGTCTTTTCTCCATTGTATATTTTTGCCTCCTTTGTCAAAGATAAGGTGTCCATAGGTGCGTGGATTTATCTCTGGGCTTTCTATTTTGTGCCACTGATCTACATGTCTGTCTTTGTGCCAGTACCATACTATCTTGATGACTGTAGCTTTTTAATATAGTCAGGCAGGTTGATTCCTCCAGTTCCATTCTTCTTTCTCAAGATTGCTTTGGCTATTTGAGGTTTTTTGTATTTCCATACATATTGTGAAATTATTTGTTCTAGTTCTCTAAAAAATACCGTTGGTAGCTTGATAGTCTCCCATTATTTTTAAAGTTATGTTTTCCACTTAGTTTTAATGGTAAGACTTAAATATAACCTCTTGACTCAAAATATATAAAACTTCTACCTTCCTTTTAACATAAGGGCCTTAGAATGCTTTAACTCCCAATTTCCTCCCATTCTTCTGCCATGTTATTTCCCAGTATTTAATTATATCTTCTTTCAACCTTCCCTCAAATTAGTCTTTATTATGATTACAATTTGTTCCATACTTCACGTTTTAGTTATCCTATTCTCATTTTAAATTCTATTATAACTAGATAGCAACACTTACTGACTGTCCTGATCTCATCTGCTTTTTATACAAAATTATCTGCAGTTACAGTGAACACTGCCTTGATCATTATTTTTTTCTTTTTTTAAATGTCTACTTATTTATTTGGCTGTTCTCGATCTTAGTTGTGGCATGTGGGATCAAGTTCCCCAACCAGGGATCAAAATCAGACCCCCTGCATTGGGAACATGGAGTTTTAGCCACTGGACCACCAGGGAAGTCTCTATTTTTCTTTCCTATTCATATTCTCTTATCACCACTTTGTACTTAATACTTTTATGAATGAGCCTTCAAACAGAGTTGATATTGAAAAAATGTACAAAGTTAGTATTTCTTCTCAGAGTCTAAATAAATCTAAGGAATTTAAAAAATTTTTAAGTCAACAAATACTTAAAGATACTTTGAATACTTGGGAGACACTCCTTCAGTTCAGTTGCTCAGTCATGTCCAACTCTTTGCGACCCCATGGACTGCAGCACGCCAGGTTTCCCTGTCCATCACCAACTCCCAGAGCTTAGTCAAAACTCATGTCCATAGAGTCAGCAATGCCATCCAACCATCTCATCCTCTGTCATCCCCTTCTCCTCCTGCCTTCAATCTTTTCCAGCATCAGGGTCTTTTCAAATGAGTCAGTTCTTCGCATCATGTGGCCAAAGTATTGGAGTTTCAGCTTCAGCTTCAGTCCTTCCAATGAATATTCAGGACTGATTTCCTTTAGGATGGACTGGTTTGATCTCCTTGATTCACTATATTTAATGTTAAATGATTTTTAATAAGTGAAATCAAAGTAAATTGGTCTCAATTTAAAAAGCTCAACATCACTAATCAGAGAAATGCAAATCAAAACCACAATGAGATACGACCTCACACCTGTCAGAATGGCTAACAAAAAAGAACACAAATGTTGGCAAAGATGTGGAGAAAAGGGAATCTTTGTACACTGTTGTTGAGAACGTAAATTGGTGCAGCCACTGTGGAAAACAGTATGGAGCTTCCTTTAAAAAATGAGAAACAGAACTACCATATGATCCAGCAAGTCCACTCATGGGTATATATCCAAAGAAAGGAAAAACAGTAATTTTAAAAGATACATGAACTCCACTGTTCATAGCAGCATTATTTACAATAGACAAGATAAGCAAGCAACCTAAGTGTTCATCAACTGGTAGATGAATAAAGAAGATGTATATATACAATGGAATACTACTCAACCATAAAAAATAATGAATTCTGCCATTTGCAACAACGTGGATGGACCTAGAGGGTATTAGGCTTAGTGAAATAAGTCAGAAAGAGAAAGACAATTACTGTATTTCATCATTTATATGTGGAATCTAAAAAATAAGGCAAACGAATATAACAAAACAGAAACATACTCAGATATAGAGAATAAATTAGTGATTATTAGTGGGGAGAGGGAAGGGGAGGGACAAGACAGAGGTAGGGAATTAAGAGGTAAAAACTACTTTGTATGAGATAAACTACAAGGATATATTGTACAGCATGGGGAAATATAGCTCTTATTTTATAACTTTAAATGGAAAACAATAAAAATATTACATCACAAAGTTATACACCTGAAAGTAATACTGTAAATAAACTATATTTAAAAAAAAAACACACATCAGAAACAGCAGGTCAGTCATGTATCAGCTGACAGTGAAAACTGCCTCATAAACATCTGCACCCTTCTATAGAAGACAGCATAACTTTAGAAACCACTCTTTTACAGTCCAGCTCATTCATTTTTTTACTGTGGTAAAAACATGTATAACATAGGGCTTCCCTGGTGGTAAAGAATTCGCTTGTCAATGCAAGACACATGGGTTCAATCCCTGATCCAGGAAACTCTCACATGCAACTAAGCCTATGCGCCGCAACTATTGAGCCTGTGCTCCAGAGCCCACGAGCCCCAACTACTGAGCCTGCACGCCCTAGAGCCTGTGCTCCTCAAAAAGAGAAGCCACCGAAATGAGAAGCCTGTGCACCACAACTAGAGAGTAGCACCAGCTCTCCACAACCAGAGAAAAGCCCATGTAGCAATGAAGACCTAGCACGCCAAAAATAAAGTTGTTTTTAAAATATGCATAACATAAAATTGCTCTTTCATGTTTACTGACTGGATAGGTGACCTAAGATCACTCAGAAACGATGAGGAGGCCCTAAATGGGTTAGCACTCACTCTACAGCTGTGAAGAGTAGCTGTTGGGGTAGGATGGCTTCGAGGTGGGGGAAGGTGGGAAGGACTGTGACTCCACATGTGCACAATCATGAACTATACCTGGAGTGTTCTGGTTAATCAGGAAAGTTTGTGCAGTCACGAAGAGAAAAACAGGGCAAACATGAGGTCTTCTCACCAACTACCCCCAAAATAAATACAACTAAAGGCTCAGACAAATGTTTTTTAATCATTAAAATGTTGGAGAGGAAAGTCCAATCCTACAGATTTGCTTTACTGGGAAGACAGTTCTTTTGCCTCTGAGGGAAGGGAAGCCTGGACCAATAGCTGGGTCATTAGGAAGGCTCAGAGCCCGCAGAAGGTATTTCATCACCAAGGACGTTTAAAGGTACTTTTCATGTGCCTGGAGCACTGCTTCATGTGAAAGGAACAAAACTGATGAGGTCTCTGCTCTTAAGGATCTCACAGAATCCACCAGGAGACATAATTATGCTCAA